CTCCAGTCCCTGGGAGGGACTGGAAGTTTCTAACCCATCTTCTCATTAAATGTCCACCAGTCAGGGTTGAATTTCCCTGTCAGAAGGTATACATCTGATTTAAGGTGTTTCAGAGTCTTCTTTGCTGTCTTTGGTTACTGAGTGCAACCATTGACCATCAATTTATTAATATTAATAAATTGATTATTAATGCCTGGGGGAAAAAAGGACAAGTCTAATCCCTCTTCCCCATGAGAGTCTTCCAAATACTTGAAGACAGCTCTCACATCTCCTCCTGCATCTTCTCTTCTCCAGCAAAACATTCTCATTTCTTTCAACAGAGTTTCATTTAACATGGACTCAAAGCCCTTTACCATCATGGCTACCCTCTACTAGACACTCTCTGGCATATCAGTGACCTTCTTAAAATGTGATACCTAGGACTCCAGAAGAGATCTGACTAGGACAGAGTACGGGGGTTTATCCCCTCCCACTTTCTGGAAATTATGACCCTTTTTGTGCTACCCAGGATTGATGACTATCACCTTGGTTGGGACTTGCCCAAGTCATGGGTAGTATATGTCCAGATCAGTATCTGACCTTAGATCCTCTGATTCCAAACCCAGGGTCTCATCACCAGAACACTGGCCATCAAATGATGATTTTTTAAAACTATTCAGTCAGTTCGCATATGGGTGAAACCACAGATGACCAACACTGGAGTCTGTGATGAGCTGCTAGAAATAGACACTGTTGGAGAGTTTCCCAGTTCCTGCAGGAAGTTACTCCTTTGTTACAAATGAGGAGTTCTGGGAAACAAAGTACTTTGGGCAATGGCTAAATGAATTGAGGTATATGGATGGAATGGAACAGTACCATACTGTCAGAAACTAGGAGCCTAATGAAAATAGAGAAGTATGGGAAGACTTGTGTGAACTGATGCAGAAGGAAGGAAGCAGTCAGAGAACAATATATACAAAGACTATAGCAATATCAATGGAAAGAACCACTATAAAATAGTGAATGTTGTGAAATTATAAAGAATTCACTTGGCCCCAAGTGAGCAGCTAAGAGTGCCACAGTGCACAGAGTGTTGGTCTTGGAGTCAGAAAGACCTGAGTTCAAATGTAGCCTCAGATATTCACTAGCTGTATGACCCTGGCTAAGTCACTGAATTGCTACCTCCCTCAATTTCCTCATCTGTAAAATGGGGATAATAATTGCACTAACCTATCAGGGTTGTTGTGAAGATAAAATGAGATAATATTTGTAAAACCCTTAACACAGTGCCTGGCACATAGTAGATGCTTAATACTTCCTTCCTAAGAAGAGATATGAGACCTCCCCTCCACCTTGGAATGAGGATTTCTCTGTGTGTGTGTGTGTGTGTGTGTGTGTGTGTGTGTGTGTGTGTGTGCGCGCGCGCGTGTTGTAGGGTTCACTGGTGCATAAAATTGCATACAATATCAATTTTTTCAATGCTTTTGGTTAGTTTTACAGAATGTTTTCTTTTCTTCCTCTTAAAAAAATTCTTTGCTCTAAGGGATGGCTCTGGGGGATGAGGAGGGACATGGGGGAAATCTAGGCAACATAAAAACAAAAATATCAACAATCTATTTCACTTGAATAAATGAGGAGTTTTAAATAACAAATGAGTGGGAGGAACTAAAGAGTCCCTGCATTTCAATGGGGATGGGTCTTAGTCTGTAAGAACATCTGGCTTCTGACATCATTTATCAGAAGCTGCTGGAATGGTTGACGTTACTTGTCTCCCTTCCCCTATCCCCCTTCTCAGGAGTAAACACAGGCTTCTGGGGCAGAAATTCCTGAACTCTATTTAAAGCATGTCATAGAGACTGCTGTGTCTTCTGGGTAAGGTCTTTTTTTCCCCTCTCCGAAATTCAGGGCATTCATTGCTCAGCGGAGCTGGAACTACGTCACCCGTGTGAAGTCCTGGACCCCCAGATTCTAAGGGAATCTCAAGCTGAGCGAGGAAGCCTGTTCTTCACATCTCAAGACCCAACTGTCCTCAGAGCCCACTTTCAGAGCCTCACCCCTTCCCCACAGAGCAGTGTTGAGAGACTCTGTTCATCCTAATCATGGGAGAATAGATCTGGAGCTGGAAGAGATTGCAGAGGCCATGAGGTCCAACGCTCCCATTTTACATATGAAGAGACTGATACCTGGGGAGGTGAAGTGATTTGTGTGAGGTCACACAGACAGCAAGCATCAAGGGCAGGATTTGAACCCAGTTCTTTGGGTTCCAGAAGCAGTGCTCTTTCCATTGTACCAGGTTGAGGGGTCCTTGCTGCTGATCTCATCTGAACTATTCCTTTTACAGAAGAGGAAACTGAGGCCCAGGGAGAGGGAAGTGAGTGGCTCAAAGTCACATAGGAAGCAAGTAGCAGACACAGGACTGCTAAAAAGATTCTGGGTCCCAATCTAGTGCCCCTTCCACTCTACATCTGCTCCTGGGCGTCTCAACCTGGAGGGTTGCCTGATTGGTTAGAGAAAATCCATTTTAAGGAAAATGTCCTGTTCATTCATGTCTTCATTCCTTTCAGGGCTTCACTCCTGACTCTTTAGACTTTCAACCTCCTTCCCTGCCCCTCCCCCTTCCTCTCTTTCCTCCTCTTTTTACTTGTCTTCCTCCATTAGAAACTAAGCTCCCTGAGGGCAGGGACTGTCTTTCTGCATCTATTTATAATAGCTTAAAAAAAAATCTGCTTCCTGACTTGACTCAACTCACCCATTATATTGAGTTAGATTGAGAAAAAATCCCAGTGTGTCCCAGCACACTGGAGCAGACCACTGACTTTTAAGTCAGATGACCTGAGTTCCAATCTCACCTCTATCTGCTTATTACCCATGTGATCTCTTGTAAGTCACTTCCCCTTTTTGTGCCTCAGTGTCCTCATCTGTAAAATGGACCAGATAGACATGAAGGTTTCCAGATCTAAATCTAGGATTACAGCCCTGTTGGAGAGATGAGCACCGTAAGGGTCCCCAGAGAAGAGAAACAAGTTATTCCATGCTGGACACACAGTAGCGACCTATGACTATTCTGAGTTTTTAAAGCAGTTCGTGTTAAGCCGACTTTGGCCGTGACTGAATTTTCCCCAACTAGACTCAGGTGGGGACTATGTCATGTACACAGTAGGCATTTAATAAATGTTTGCTGAATTGAATTGTATCCATTGCCAGGTCCTGTATGGATCGTAATGCTTGGGGAATGATTGACTTAAAATAGTAACCAGTCTGATGCTAGAGCCAACTCAGACCACCTCTCAAAAACTTACTGGTAAGTTTTCAGGGTGAGCATTTACACTTTGAAAAAGGGGAAATGCTACAAACGAAGCACTTAATTTATCGTTTTGTTAGATGTCTAGACATAAGGAAGTGATGGAGAAAATATTATTAATGCATCAAACCTGAAACTGTGTTGCGGGGATATTTTTTCTGGAGAACCAGCTGCTAACTCTTTAGCAGTACGCTGCTGATGATAACCTTCCTCTTTACAGAGCATTTTAAAGTTTGCAAAGTTCTTTATATTTGCTATCTCAGTGGATTTTCACTCCACCCACTTGCTGGGCCATGGAGCTGCCCTAATAATAGAGGAAGCTCATTGGCACAGTGGAGAGAGAGCTGGACCTGGAATCAGGAAGACCTGAGTTCCAATATTGCCTCCAATTGGTCTGTAACTCTGCATATTGCCACCCCACAACCTGTGACAAAAGTTACACACCTGCCAGTGTGAGGGCACAGCTTGTGACTGGGGCATGGAGTAGCTGTAGGTCATAGATTTGTATAAAGAGGGAGCCCATAGTGACCCTGAGCTTCTCAGCACAATGTACCAACCGTTAAATTCACCAGCTACAGACACAGGCCCTCTATTCATGGCTTCTTGTTCACTTGGACAACTAAAGGCCAAAAGATGCCAAATTTCAAAAGAAAAGCAGTAGTGGGTCTGTGAGCAGGGAGGGCTCTTAGAACAGAGAATGTCAGAACTGGAAGGGGCCTTAGAACACAGACTATCAGAGCTGGGAGGGGCCTGAGAACACAGACTGTCACAGCTGGGAGGGGCCTTAGAACACAGAATATTGGAACCGGAAGTGGCCTTAGAACACAGACTGTCAGAGCTGGGAGGGGCCTGAGAACACAGAATATTGGAACTGGAAGGGACCTTAGAACACAGGATGTCAGAGCTGGGAGGAGCCTTAGAACACAGAATGTCAGAACTGGAAGAGACCTTAGAACACAGAATGTCAGAGCTAGAAGGGACTTTAGAACACAGAATGTCAGAGCTGGGAGGAGCCTTAGAATAGAGGATGTCAGAGCAGGGAAGGCCCTGAGAAGATAGAATGTCAGAGCTGGGAGGGGCCTTAGGACACAGGATGTCAGGGTTGGGAAGGCTCTAAGAATATAGGATGTCGGAGCTGGGAGGGGCCTTAAAACAGACAATGTTGGAACTGAGAAGGGCTTTGTCTAGTCCAACCCTTCTATTTTCTCCATGAGGAAACTGAGGCTGTAAGAAGTTGAGAACCTTGCCCAAGATCCTCCAGCTAAAAAGTGGCAGCATCTGGACTGACCTCCTATGCTTTCGTCACTACATCCTGACCTGCCTCCTGAGCTAAGCCATCCAATTCTTCCAAGACCCAGCTTTAACAGAGATATTGGCTTGAACTCCCTCCCTCACCTCTGCTGGGCTGACAAAAGTACAGTTGTCTTCAGCACTACCCACACCTCTAAGTCATCTCTCTTGGCCTTCTGGGGCCAGGCCTGCTGGACATCTGATAATGACTGTCCTGACTCACTGGATGCCAAAGAAAGAGATGCCTCAGGTGTGGACAAAGGAAGGTATTCAGAAGCCCTGGGGAGTTAAGGCTTCTGAGAGCCTCGTGACTGGGTCGATTTCAGCAGGGTGGGTGACATCACTTGCTTCTGGCCCCGGGTGGGTTTCTGTCCAGATGACTCTACCCTGAGACTCCCCACCCTCTGTTCCCTCCAAAGATGGACACATAGTCAGGCAAAGAAGGTTGTACTTTATATGGAAACACACACACACATACATACATACACACATTTCCTTCTCAGGACACAGATGCCTTGTTGCACTTGGAGATTGAGGTCACATCCATCCCAGTGGCTGTTGGTCCAGAGACACACAGAAATTGCTTCCATATGCTCAGAGGGGCGGATGATTTAGAGCAGGTAAGGACCTTAAACATGATCGAGTCCAACCCTTCTCTTTTCCGCCAGTGGAGGATTTGAGGCCTACAAGGTCGCATAGCTGACAAGTAGCAGGCATGGTCGCTAGTCCCAACTCTGCTGATGCCAAATCCACATCACAAAAATCTCTCTTCTGATTTCCTTTCCCCATTCATTCTCTTCTCACAGACTTGAAGAACTGGCATTTTGGCTCCATATCTCCCCAGAAAGACAGAACTTACCTTATTCAACTTCTGGGACAAGGGAGGCCACCTTTTTTCATGAGCCAAAATCAGATTCCAGGATCAGAGAAAGAACTCTAAGCCTTATGGATGTTGGGTCAATGAGTCATCTTTGTCTTTGAAGATGAGCACCATGATGTTCACTTTCCTTGCTCCAAAAAGCTTAAAGTAGTCCAGGAACTGATGATGGGGGATTACAATTAGGGTTAAGGTCTCATGACCTAAAAAATCCAGTTTATGTCCAAGATCCCTGGATGCTTAATAACTGAGTTGCTCATGGAAGGAAATTTGACATTTGGTGCTCATGAGCTCCCTTACCTACCATTACTTTAGGAATTTAGGGAGGAAAGCTGTTTATGAAAAGCCATGCCAGTTTCCGAGAGTCTTTCCCCCTTTCTCCAGAGCCATAACTAGGAATTTTTGCTTTTGGGATAGGAAGATGGTTGCTTAGTTAGGGCAAAGCCACTGGGTAGGAGGCAGGGAAGAAATATGTTCTTGGACAGTGTTTTCAGCATCTTCTTAAATGTTGGCCCTTTGAGACGAAGTTCCAGGCACCGTATCTCACACTATAGAGTCATAAATTTAGAGGTGGAAGGGACCTCAGAGGTCATTTAGTCCATCCCACTCATTTTACAAAGGAAAAAACTGATATCCAGAGAAGGTAAGTGATTTTCCCAGGGTCACACAGTCAACTATCCTAGTTATGGCTCTGCCTTTCTCATTATGCCACAGATATGAAATTATGCAAGTGTGTACCAATCCTCCATTTGCAAGAACATTACTTGACTCCCTAAGAGAGCTAACTCAATTTTTGTTCAAGTGGTAATGCATATGGAAAGAATAGGTTATTGGCTTTATAACTGGAAAGGACCTGGAGATCATTTAGTCTAATCCTGTCTTACAAAGGAGGAAATTGAAGCCCCAGGAAGTGAAGAGAGTTAGTTGCCAAAGGTCTGAAGGGTAGCAGATGGAAAAGCTGAGACTTGAACCTGGGACCTGTCACTCCAAATCCACTGATGTTGCCACAACACTATAGTTAGGTTCCACCTAACTTTTTATGTTTAACCTAGCTTTTATCTTTCCCTTTGTGATATTGGGTTCGGGGATCCAGCAGACCCTGTTACTCAGGATACCATGCAGAAATTTTGTACTAATGGGAAACAAGGATGGGACATAGACAGACGTCAGTAGTATGGGTAAAGGTAGCTTCCAATTGCACCCTGAGTATCATGAAATGAAACAATGCCCTAGTGGGTTATGGTCTTACTAGCCCTTCTAGCATGCACGGCTTCAGCAAGAGTAAAGGGTTTGAAGTCAAAAAGTCAAGTCAATGGGTATATAATGGATTTCTCCATTGAAATGGTAGAATCACTATAACATATGTATTATCCAGATATTTCCAGTTGTTTAGGGGAAGGAAATGATCTTCTGGACCCATTCTAGTGGACGGCTAAAGACCAAAGAGTGGTCCCTGGCTTTAGGGAAGCACAGTGAACAAATTCATGACTGGGCCTCAATTTACACTTCTGTTAGGAAGGATTAGCATTCTTTAGCCTAAGCAAGATCTAGTTTACAGGTATAAATGCTTTTAAAAATTCTCCCTGAAGTTGGATATTTGCTATAATAGTGTGGAAAATCAAATATGTTATCATTTATTCACATAGGTATTAATGGCTTTAATAAAGACAGGCCTTCTTAGTTAAAACAAATGATTAGTCTTTTGAGTTTTTTGTTTACATTTTTTTTTTTGGCCTGGATATCTGCATGCAAGAAAATGAAGTCTTTTAAAGAATTACTGAGCACCTCTTGTGGGCCTAGCGCTGTGCTAAATTATCTGATGAGTGCAGTCAATCCAGTGAAAAATTCTGTACAATTGCTTATTTGACCATTACATAGGTGGATAGGTGTGTTTTTCCTTTGCATCCAATCATTTTGACACTGTTTGGAAACAGACTGAGTTTGTTAAAGCCCTTGGCCTGACTTTCCATATGAGTCATGAGTGAGACTGAAGTGAGTGAAAGAAGCTCTGAGCTAGAGCAAATAACCTTCTTCCCCCATCTTTGAAGGGAGAAGCGGAGGGGTGCCCACTGCCGTAGAGCCCCTTCTGAGAAGTCATGAAGTGTGTTACAGAAATTAGTGCACATTAGTCCTCACAACATCCCTGTGAGGTAGGTATGGGACAAGGGGCCCTGTCCCTGTTCTACAGATGAAGATGCTGAGGCACAGACAGGTGAGGTCACTAGGCAGAGGTCACAAAGCAATGACAATGGCAGAAGAAACCTTGCTGGTTCCTTTCTGTTGGCCTTACATCTTGGTTAAGACTTATGTGAGAGACATGTTATGTTCCATGTAATGAAGTCATTAAAAAAGAAAAACCTAATTCATTATTTGAATACTGAACAAGATTTCCCCACCCCTCAATCACATCCCCCCCCTAAATTAAAGACACCATTGGCACTCTTGAGAAGAATTAAGCTTATTTTCCCCATGGCTCTTGTCTCAAGCCAACTCTTATGAATAGGGAACTATTTCAATAAAGTGTATACATCCTGATGCACTAATTCCACAGGTTGGTCACCCAGCCAGTGGGATATCTTAATTTTAGTATCACATATTCTTCATCCACTTAGTTTTCCCTATGTGGATGGCTGAGCCAATTTCTTCTTAATGGCTGTGTATCTCATTAAAAGAGCTTGGTGGTGTCCTTGGTCCTGAAGCAACCAGCACAGTGCTATTCATTACCAAAAGTGTCTGGAGAACATTCTCCTCCATTTGGACAATGTACAAGATGCATTCCATGGCGTGGGTAAAGACCTTTGGTGAACATGTATCTCCTCATTTTATGCCTCAGCAGATGGACAGCTTGATTATGATGCATCCATGAAGTATAAAAAGAACCAATGGGTGAGTGTTGAGTGGATCCCTTTTGGAAGAATATGGATGAGAATCACACCGGATGAGACTAGGTCAATGGGTTGAGATCTACACTGGTGGAGAGACTGGCCACATTGATAAGCCCAATATGGAAATCTGCTTCATTCAGAAGAAAGAATCCTGTAGTTTTCCCAGGCAATGTGTATGCAGAAATTCCTCAAGAGTCACCTCACATCACCCCTAAGCATGGTCATAGTTATTTAACAACTGCACCTTCTCCTGGTGCAAGGACTTTAGCAGAATAGCCACTTCTACCCTTCATGAATTTATTAAGCACTTCCCTAAAGCTAGGGACCACTCTTTAGGTAAAAGTCCCAGACCTGACTCACATCATGGGCTCATAAATCTAGAGGTGGAAGGAACTCAGAGGTTATCTAGTCCATTCCATTCATTTTTACAAAGGAGGAAACTGAGACCCAGGAAAGGTAAGTGATTTGCCCAAGGTCACACAGACAGTCAACACTCTGAAAAAGATCACAGGATCATAGAAGCATAGGAAGTTCACCCAAAGAATATTAGAGCAGGAAGAAGCCTCAGGGATGATCTAATCTAGTCTCTCAGTTTATACACAAGTAAACTGAGGCCCAGGCCCTTGACTTTTCCAAGGTTCCATAGGTAGTAAAACAACAGAGCTAGCATTCCAAATGTCTCTAAATCCTGGGCTTTACCCACTCTGCCACTGCAGACATGATAATCCAGGCTGGAGTCTGGAAGGCCAGGGAAGCCCTCCTCATCCACTAGAAATCAAAGGGAGAAGAAAAACAGGAGGTGAAGCTCTCACTCTGACATCACACCCAGGAGGCTTTCCCAATAGGTTGCCCTAGCTAGAAAGGCGTTGCTTGCTGGGCCATCATCTTCCTTTTTCCATGGTTGCTCTTCCTTTCATTCAAATCGGTGTCTGAAATACTGAGTTAACCCACCAGCTAGTCTTGGAAGGACATTTGAGGGGGTGGGGAAACATGGGTCTTTCCCATCCATGGTGGCTTGGTCTGGGACTCAGGGGTAGCTCACAAATTATTTAACCTCTAAGTTCCCTCTGAAATTAAGCCTGAGAACCTTAGAACTTTAGAGGTCAGAGTGACTTTGAAGAGGTCTTAGTCAGTCCCCTGCTTTCAAGGAGGAGGGATATCTAAACAGTCCAGGACAGGATGTTGGATGGTTATGATCTTTTCTGGAGCCTTCTAGATGTGGATTCTCCAGTCCCCACCAGGAGCTCATTTCTGTAGAGCCTCCTAAAGTTGGTCAGTCTACAGATTGGCTGCGTTTGGTCTGGGAAGTGTCCCTTGGCTAGCAAGACGACAATGCCATGTTGGCACTTAGCTCAAAGTTTCTCTGTACACCCAATCAGTGGGTTCTTCATAAGCTCCTTCCTTCCCTCTTTGATTTTTCTCCTTGGCCCATGAGACTGGTGGGAATAAAGCCATTCTTTACACATTGGTAACCTCAAGTCCACTGTAGTTTTCTAGACGACACTGATCTGATCTATCTTGAGGGTCATCATCGAAGCAGTCTTCATTTCTGAGAGAGCCATAGTCATCATGGAAGTCAAGGTCTTTGCTGCTGAACCCCCTTCCAATCTTCCCTAGTGGCAACTGGAAAAAAAAATGGAATCACAGAATGTCAGATTTGGAAGGGCTCATCAAATGTAGACCGTCAATGGAATGGGGAGGACTTTAGAACAAAGATTGTCAGAGCTGAAGGGGGCCTTAGAAGACACAAGGTCAGAACAAGGAGTGACCTTAGAATATAAAATGTCAGAGCTGGGAGGGACCCTAGAAAAGAGAATGTCAGAGTTGGGAGGGCCCTTGGGACACAGGATGTCAAAGCTGGGAGGATCCTTAGAACAGAGAATGTCAGAGCTGGGAGGGGTCCTGGAACCTGGAATGTCAGAACCAAGGAGGGCCAAGAAGGGGGGGACACCTCTGAACAAAGAATGTGAACATAGAATATGAGATGAACAAGGGGACTGAAAACATTAAGTGTCACAGTTGGCAGGGCTTTTCTGAGTCCTGGAGAAATGAGGTGCCATCACTGAACTCCTCAGGGACCGGAGCCCACATCTCCTGACTTTGGGCCCTTCCTATCGCCTGCTGAAGACTGGCAGAGAGGGGCTGGGAAACAGAGTCCGAGATGCCCAGAGTCTTACCCGGCCAGTTTTGTACTTGACGCTGCTGCTGGTCTCCTCCTTCCCCTGCCGAGTGACGCTGGAAGCCCTTCCTGGGGGGGTCCCAAACCTTTCAGCCTCTCGGATGCCTATAGCACTGCGGGGAGGGAAGGCAGAGAGACAACCATGTGAATGAATGATACAGTCAAGGGTGGAAAGCCCAGTACCTGACACATAGTAGGCACTTAATACTTCTGGATGGATTTGTAGGCAGGGAAAGCTTTGACAGATGCAGAAACTGAAGCCCAAAGATATGGAGTCTCTCCTTGCTCCATCACAGAGTGCTGCCACACATCAAGAAGGAGCAGGACTGAAATTAGAAGCCAGTTCTCTGGACCCCACCATTCTGTCTACTATACATACTTGAACCACACCGACACATCGTACCGTCATCAGTCACTTCTTGGGCTATAGGATCATTGAGAGGTAGAAGGGCCCTTAGAGAACACCTACCCCCCACCCCTGCCTCCACTCCCACATGCTCAAGTTAGGAAACAAGAGATCAGAGAAGGAACTTGCTCAAGAGAACAGGGCTCCAAGGTGGAAAATCCAGATGTGACACAGAAGGGGAGTATTTAAGTAAGAACCTACAATCCTTTGTCTCAGATTACTTTATCAGATAAACAAACCCCAGTCACCTGCCCAACCCTAAGAATGGGACCCACAAACATTGAGCGCTAAGGAGAAATTCCCAAAGGATTCAGGGCTGGAGGGATCTTGGAAGTCATTTAGTCCAAAGTCCATGTTTTAAATATGAGGCAACTTATAAGAGGGAGGTAAGTGATGTGATGTGATGAGCCTCAACAAAGTCAGTCAACAAACATTATTAAATGCTTTTAATGTGCCCAGGACAGTGCTTGGCACTGAGGATACAAAGAAAGGTGAAACCAGTAAGACAGTAGGAAGGTGACGCTCTGTGGTTACTGAGGGAGATAAGAGGTCCAAAGAACTTCCAAACAGTACAGAGCCTCAGAAATCCTACTGCAACACTCTCATTTTGTAAGCCCAGAGAGGGATGTGTTTGGTCCAACATGAGATGACTTGCTAGCTCCCACATAGTTCAGATTAGACCCCAGTCCTCCTAACTACCTGGTCAAATGGACAGGAGCTCTGGGCAGTCCTCTTTGGGAAATCTGGTAAGACCCAGAAGTGTATGATATAGATAGATGGATGGATGGATGGATAGATAGATACATAGATACATAGATACATAGATAAATGGATAGATGGATAGTGGATAAATAGATGGATGGTTGGATGGATGGATAGCTAGATAGATAAATCAATAAAAAGATAACTAGATAGATGGATAAATATATGGATGGATGGATGGATAGATGGATGGATAGAGAGATGATGGATGGATGGTTGGATGGTTGGATGGATGGATAGCTAGATAGATAAATTGGTAGATGACGATATAGATGGATGATAGATAGATAGATAGATAGATAGATAGATAGATAGATAGATAGATAGATGGATAGATGGAGAGAGAGAGAGATAGGCAGATGGAAAGATGGATGAATGGATAGAGAGCTCCTTCAAACTCAGGGACTGAAAATTGGACAAGGGCATGTTCAGGACAGTCTGTACATTTTGAGCTAAAAGAGAACTCAAAGGTCATCTTATAGGTCTGACCAAGTTGCTCTTCTGCTCTAGAAGCTTCTGGGGCTCCCTATTGCCTCTAGGATAAAATAAAAACTCTTCTGTTTGGCTTTGAACATCTGTCATGATCTGGCTCCAGCCTGCCTTTCAAGGCTGCTCTGAAGTTTAGAAGCAAGACCAAACAAAGTTCAGGTAAGACTGAAATGACTGAACAACAATAAAAATGCACATGCAAATATTTATCATACTTGTCCAATATCAAGAAATTGGCGGATGCAAGGGAGAAGGAGACAACAAAGAGATTTATTTTCATTTACCTACTTTTGTTGTTCATTTGTGTCTGATTCTTTTGTGATGCCATTTGGGGTTTTCTTGGCAAATGTACTGTAGTGGTTTGCCATTTCCCTCTTCAACTCATTTTATAGATGAGGAAACTGAGGCAAACGGGGTTAAGTGTCTTGCCCAGGGTTACCCAGCTAGGCAGTGTCTGAGGTCAGATTTGAACTCAGAAAGATGAGTCTGACGCCAGGCCTGGGCTCTAACCACTGTGCAACCTAGCAGCCCATATTTATACACTGTCAGGAATAACTTAAATATGTCATTCTCCCCCCACCTGCCCCAATACCAAATGTTTGTTGAATTGATTGAATCCATTTTAAATGAATTTTTTCCAATTTAATTTTTCCAATTTAAATGAATCCCATTTTAAGATGAACAAACTGAGGCCTGGTGACTTGCATAATTTGTATTTACTTATCCTTATACTTGCTGTATGCCTGTAATGGAATGTAAGCAATCTAAAGGCAGGGATTGTTTTTCAATATTTGTGCCACCTTAGTGCCCAGCACAGTGCCTGATACATAGTGGGTACCTAATAGAACCTTGTGGAATTGAATTGAATCTCATCCAACCCCCCTCATTTTACTGAGGCCTAGAGAAGGTTAACTGGCATGTAACAGATGCTTGTGGAACCAAATCTTGTCTAACTGCCCTCATTTTCCAGATGAGTAAACTGAGGCCTAGGGAAGGTTAATTGTCTTGAATAAGGACACACAGGTAGTACACAGGTGGGATTTGGATTCAGATCCTCTGACTCTTCTGTGTAATTTTAGGGGAGGGGTAGGGGGTGCCAAGATTAGTTCTTGCTCCTAAATATTTGCCATGATGCTTACAATTCTGCTCATCCTGGTAAGCGAGAACCAGCTAGGCAGTGCTGTGGATAGAACACTGGAAATCAGGAGACCTGAGTTCAAATCCATCTCAGGCACTTACTAGATGCATAATCCTGGGCAAGTCACTTTAACCTGTCTCTGCCTCAGTTTCCTCATCTGTAAAACAGGGACAATGACAGCTCCTACCTCTCAGGGTTGGGGAGAGGATCAAATGAGATGATATTTGTAAAGCACTTTGCAAACCTTAGAGCGCTATCTAAATGCTCTATAATGATCACTATTCTTAGACAAAGGGGAGCTTTGCCCACAGACTCTTGACCCCTACATATTTTGAGGCGCTTTCTTCTATCTCACACTGCTTCTCTGCCAATTGTCTCTCCATCTCCCAGACGCTGACATCTCCCAGTCTCCTCCTGGAAGAATTTCCCAGGGTCCTCTGGTAAAAGATTGCCCCAGTGGGCTCTGGCAGATGCCAGGCGACTGCCATCAGGAGCTTAGGCCGGTGCCAGATGTGGGCTAAGTGGGGAACCGGACCTTCCAGCATCTTCCACAGCGCGTAGCCCCTCCTGGATGCCACTACCCAATTTGTGGGGTAGAGTTATTGCAGGGAGAGTTCAAATAGGGGCACCCAGGCGACAACGCCGTCCAATTAATTGCTTCATAATTGCTTTTTAGAGCTAATTCATCAAGCCTGGTAATAGGTTGCCAGCTCCTGGGTAAGATGGTATATGTGCTATTTGTCTGTGCAATGGCGTGGGTCAGGCAATTAAGGTGAGAGACTTTTGTGGAGGCGGAATCTGCGGTTCCTGATGACTGGCTGGTGATGAGAGGTGGGGGAGGGGACACCCTCTGTGTCTGGCACACAGTAGGCACTTAATAAATGCTGGTTAACTGGCTGTTTTAAAGTTCCTTGACTTCAGTTAAGGCTTTTGGCTTTGGAAAAGTTGAGGAGTGATTAGACAGAAGGGAACAAGGAAAGAGAACGCAGTATGCATTTATTAAGCACCTACTATGCATTGCTCTAAGGCAGGAGTGGGAACCTTTGCCCTCTAGGTCCCCAAGTACCGCCCTTTGACTGAATCCAAATTTCCCAGAACTCCCCTTAATAAAAGGATTTGTTCTGTAAAATTGGACTCAGTCCAAAGACTGAAGCCACATGTGGCTTCCAGGCCACAAGCTCCCCACCCCTGCTCTAAGGCTTTACAAATATTATCTCATTGGATCCTCACAACGGCCCTGGGAGGTAGGTGCTATTATTATCTCCATTGACGGAGGAGGAAACTGAGGCAGTCAGAGGTTAATTGAGTCATGCAGGGTTACACAGCTAATAAGTATCTGAGGTCAGATTTGAACTGGGGTCTTCCTGACTCCAGGCCCAGAAAGGAGGCATCACTCTCTCAAAAAGGGAGGTATAACCAACCAAGAAAGACCCTTCTTTTTCTCTAAAAGGTAATTATTGCAATTTAATCAGGCTTTCTAATTTTAAAACAGAGATGTCAAAATACAGCCCTCTGGCCGCAACAGTTAAGAAAGTTCACAAGATTCCAGAGTATAGCCAAAATTAGATTAACATGTAATTGGGAAATATTTATCAAAATAAGTAAAAATGCAATAAAATATAGATGATGTTAATATGTGATTTTCTAAGTCTATATGTGGCCCACAGGGATTCTTACGAATGACTGAGTGGTCCCATCCACCCATTTCATTGACACCACTGCTTTAAATGTTCCAACCTATATTCCCCAACTGGGGGTCCTGTTTAGAGGAAATTGAGAAGTTTTCTCCATTTCTAGGGTTTCCAGACCACAGAGAATGAAAGTAGAAAAAGCAGCATGGAGCTGACTTATTCACAGCACTGGGGTCTTATTGTAGAGGTCAAGTTTTGCTTTATAATGGATGGGTCCCCCCTACCCCTTTATTTAGAATACTAGCAAGAAAATTGGAAAATTTTTGACAGTAATGGAAAATTCTGTTGCTGCAATAATGTTCAAGAAGAAATAATTTGTTTCTAAAAGACATTCATTAATCTTGGTATGGAAGAAGGAAGACACAAAAGCAGAGAGGAGGCTGTGAGGGGGGAGAAGGAAGTTGTGAGAAGAAGGAAGAGGCTATGAAGGGGAAATAGAGGCTGTGAGGGAGAAAAGGATAACCATATTCTACTGGTCACACATCTGATAAACCATTTCCTACCCTACTGCAGAGCAACAAAGAAAATACATAGGCTGTTACGAAAGAGAAATTAGACTTTGCTGGATAAGCAATGAATATGGAGAAAACAAGATACTTGGGCAATGGAAGAGGCCAGTTGGGGTTT